CCCCAAAAGCTTATCCTCTACTTGAACACACCTACCCGTAGGAAACCTGCCACTTCTGAGAGAGTGTTCGCTGGACTTTTAAGCCAAGATGTTTCAAACTCGGCTCTGTAGAACCCTAGGGGGTTGTATGAGAACTTAGCAGGGTTGCATGACAGGCAAAGGGCAGGAAAAAATAAGGTTCCCTCAAATGCAGTCAATTTTCTATCGCTGGATCAGGAGTTTGGGAAACTTCTGTTTTTGTTTTTTTTTTAAACAGGTTCCACAGCTTGAAAAGGTGTGAAAACCCCAGCTTTAAGCCACCACACACACACACACACACACACACACTGCAAATTAGCTCCATAAATGTGAATAGAGCAATCTTGCTTCCACTGTGCGTTTATACATTCCTAGCACAGTAGCTATCAACATGTCACTGGTGAATTATACGACACTCAAGCCTTCATTAAAAGCACTGCCCGTGGATGGTACCTCTTGCAGTTTGCATTGGTGCCCCAGTGTAAGCGCCTACAGTGTAGTACACTCGGAACATCAAAGGTATTTGTGGGCTGACACAGCGAAAGAGGCAGCAGAGCCTGTTGGCGCAGGTTGCTTGACTACTCCATACTGGGTGGGGAAGCCGTACATTTGCACAAGTAGGCCAGCAAGAAAATTTCGCTTTCTGGAGCGCTCCCAAGTTCACGGTGAATTGGAATCCTGCCACTTCCCAGGACACGGGATTCTATTCCTCCCTCCCTCCCTCCTGGCTGGGTGCCTAATGGGCCAAAAGTGGACTGACTTCCAAAGAAAGCAAGGTTGGAAAAGGGAAGAGAAGAAGTAACCCCTTTTAAGAAGACATGGATAGTATTTATATCCTACACTTTTTGGGGAATGACTTGGAAAGGCAAAAAGCATGCTTTCAAAAATCTTAAAAACAGGTGAAGGCAGTACTGCTAACAGACTATTCATAGTAACAGGAATGGTCCTACATGCACGTGGCACAGATAGATAACCCGACACAAATAATACAAAAGGTATTCAGGAGAAAGGGTGATGAGAAGCAGCAGCTGATCGGTGTGTACCATGTTGAAACTGCTGCATGGCCCAGATCCTGGGTAAGCTCTGCCTCTTTACAGGGAGGTCGAGAAATTGAGCTGAGCAGAAGGTGCTGCTTAAAGAGGAAATGTGGATTCCCTTGGGCGTTTTTATTTGGGTGAAAAATAGTTAAGTGAAATATTTTAAAGTATATGTCTTTCAGGTTGAAATTGGATATTTATATATTTGTGTTTATTACATGTAAAGGAGAGCCAGTTTGGTGTCATGGTTAAGGTGCTGGCCTAGAAACTAGGAAACTGAGTTCTAGGCCCCCCTTAGGCATGAAAACCAGCTGGGGGACTTTGGGCTAGTCATTCTCTCTCTCTCTCTCAGCCCAACCCACCTCACAGGGTTGTTGTGGGGAAAATAGCAGGCAGGAGAATTAGGTATATTTGCCACTTTGAATTATTTATAAAAAAGATGGGATAAAAATCTAATAAAAATGATGATGAAAATAATGTATATCCTGTCTAAAGAATTTCAGACAGTTTGTTTTCTGCCTTACCTGCCGTGTCCCATTCATACCTTAACAATACGAGATTACTGAAGCTAGGGAGAACATTTGCTCCAAGGTTACCTGGTGAGCCTTACAGATTTAAACCAGCTCATTCAGATCTATATTCTGAAAATCAGTAGTGTGGTTTTTTAAAAAAAATAAATAGTTTACCTATTCCAGTCTAAGAATTAAAATTATATTCTGGATTTTTCTTTTGATTTTATAATACAGTACTGTCCTAGGTTTGCTGATTAGTTACTCTGTTATGCTCAAAGACAGCATTTCCTGTATTCTATAATGCAGGAGTATGTAGGTTTATCTTACTATGCTCACTTCAGAAAAGGAATGTCTTAGTTATGGCATTTGATTCAGATATTGTTCAAAACATACACGGGCTAAGCAGAGTGCTTTCTGAAAGTTGCTCTATTGAAAGTCTCTTCTATAAGTAGCTGCACAACTTTTGATTTCAGACAAATAAGTTATTCAGACTCGGTAGTTATTTGATCTCCATAAAAAAATAGGAAATATTTTGAACTATTTTGATGGAATGATGGAATGTCCAGGAAGCAGTGGTTAATACAGAATATGGAGCGACTAATTGGACCGAGGAGAATAAAACATTTGGTATCCTGTGAAGTAAAACCAAACTGCTCACTGGAAGCACAAAGTGAAAGCTTAGATATTTTGGATACTAAACACAAAAGCAGGGGTTTATGGGAAGATCCTGATGCTGGGAATAATTGAGGGCAATAGAAAAAGAGGCCGAAACTAGGCAGGATGCCGAGATGCTACCTCTGATGACACAACCGTGAGCTTACAAGAACTCAAGCTGTTACTGACAGATGATCTCTGTGAGCTACTGTCCATCAGCTTGCAAAGAGTCAGTAGTGACCGAATGACTCAACAACTGTCTCAAAGAAACAACAAATAAATGAATTCCCCCATTGCCATTTTGAAGTGTAGCACAATAAGCACATATTTCTGATTCCTGTTGGCTATTTCTACAAAATTCCCTTCCTGCTCTCCAGGTGACATATAGACCTGCTAGAGAGCGGGGTTTTGTCAGCCCCCGTGTTTATTTGTCATTGGAACAAACACTGCTGAAAGATTGTCTTTCCCCTCCGTTCATCATCATCATCATCATCATCATAGATTAAACTTGTATTCTGCCCGACTCTCAATGACTGGGTGGCTTACAGCAGTCAAAGAAATTACAATCAAATCAAGAAAACATAAAAAATAAAGACTTGGGCAAGCGTGATGAAGTGGGGGGTCTCCCTTCCCCTCGCCAAAGGCCTGTGAAGAGCCAGGTCACCTGCAGAGTGGGGGCCACCCAGATCTCAGGGGGAACTTTGTTCCATAGGGCAGGCACTGCTACAGAGAATGCGTGTTTTCGGGGTCCTGAGAGATGACATTGTTTAATCCAGTGTTGTCCAACACTCACCACTTTTAAATTAATGGGTTTCTACCTCCCAGATTTCCCCTCCCGCCATCAGTACCCCCTACCTTAAGTGTGCCAGCT